CGATTGATAAAAAGCACATTTAGTCCTGTACACAGGGACGAGTTTAGCTTCTGATTAGATTCTCTTCCTTTTGTTCTGCCACAACGTTTTTTCTTAAAAGTCAACTGAATGAAAACTGACTTCCCAACCATAGTGAAAGTCTTCCTAACTCTGTTTCGTCTATCAGATTTACAAATGATCTTTTATAGATGTCCATTGTTAAGCAGATACTTCACGAAAAAAATTCTGCCAGTCTTTAAACTTATCACCAGAATACACGTTTGCTGCTGCGTCAAACAGCTACCGAAACAACCTTCTTACATAGTTCAACAGGACGAAACTGTTAGGCTATCCTAGTATCCTTTCTGTGATTACTTCTCTGGACTGTGTCTTCACTTATCCCTCCAATGAATAGATTCTCCGATTTGAAGCGGTTGTCACATTCATATTTCAGTGTAAAGTTTATATTAAGATGCAGTGCAAAAAATTCATAATACTTTAAGCAATGGTGTATATCACCTTTACAAATCATGAATATATCATCGACATACCTAGCTCAAATGGCCTTCTTCCATTTGCTTCTAAATTTCCTATGAATCTATCAACAAGAAAAGGTACAAGTGGACCTTGAATCGCCACATGGTCAATTTTTCGGTTGATTTGATTAAAAAAGCGGTATTGGATATCTTTCATACAAAGTGTTAGGGACGTTTTCATGTTTTCTTTTAGAAACAGGGAGCAAATGAGATTGTGCGCGAATGATCTCGACTGTAGACACAGACGTAGAACACTAGTTAAAAAAACGGATACACCATAAAATACCAGAATTTTGTCAGAAATATTCAGTTTCTTCACGAATCTAAAATAATCATTCAACTTGTGTTGAATAAGTTTCTTTAAAAATCTGATTCTTTTCACTGCGATGAAAAGTAATGGGAAATTTGAATACAAATAAAATAACGACTTAAGGTATTTCAATGTAATTTTTAGGGATTTGGAAACATTCCAAGTTGTTATTCATCGTAGACTGACATCAGTTAGAGGAACAAAGGAAATCTGGGAGCACTGGACAGCTGTTTCGTCCCATTTGTATGGGACTCCTCAGCAGTGCTCGCCCACCACCCGGCACCACCAATGATCGAACTAACGACCTTCAGGTTCCGTGGCCAGCACGTCACCATTGAAGCCACTGGGTCAGAATCCAATGGTCCATATTTCCAACTTCTGTTAGCTTACGATATGGCGCAACTGATGTCAGTTTACGATGAATAACAACTTGAAGTATTTCAATGTCTTAAGACAACAGTATGATTTAGTTATTTCAGTTTGCGAGTAGATAGGCTATATATAAGCATTACCGACAGATAAATATGTGAATGCCTCGAAAAATCTGATTTGGATCAAATTCTGTAAATATTCAATAGCTGCCACTAAGGTCGAAAATGAATTGAAAACCTACTTTCTTAGTCCAGAGGTGACAACAGCAGCTGATGGAATGTTTACTATATCAATTCACAGATAACCAATGTGGAATGGTCAAGTGATGAACTTTTATAGCTGGGTGCGGATGAATCACATGTGAAATATGCTCATATCTCTTGTCAACTGCAGTAGACGAATCTGTGGTTCCGATGTGTTTGACAAGAAAATTTCTGTTCTAAAGAACATTCTGACTGAAAATGAATTCCCATCTGGCTTCATAGACAAAAATATCAAGCGTACACCTCTCATACCCCCGTACCGAGAAAGATATTTTGTATACATCTAAATTACAAAATTAATTCTGCAGCTGACACTCTAAAAAGGAGAATATCAAACTCATTAAGAAAAACATTCTTTGCATCAACACTAAGACTAATATTCTGTTACCACCCGATGACTTATAACAATTCAAAGGACAAACTTTCATATCTAATCACTTCTATGTGCACATATCAATTTATCTGCTCTTGTGCAGTCAGATATGAGACTATTATCCAAAAGCGTTCATCATCACTATCCCGCGTGGTTACCAAGAATTACGAAGGAGTGTCATAACTGAACACAGATCACATTATGTCAAGGACCTTTTCATTAAAAGTCATTCATACAATGAAAAGAAACCTTCCAAAAGCTGTATGTCTTTATACTCACTGCATCGCCGACGCTCTTGCCATCCAAATGGAGAAACCTGAATTGTGTACATAAAATAAGATTGTTCAACCACTTCTGCCTTGATGGTCTTAGTTATCAGTTTTTGAAACCACCGTTTTCAATTTGACACTGTTCACTTGTTAAATAATTTGCTACCCTTTTTTTCTTTCTGTGGTCCTTTTGATCACAATTCAGTACCAAAGTAGGTCATCATATCATGAAACTTCTCCATACAACTCGTCATATTTTGATGAGTATTCACTATTCATCACAGTTTTTTCCTTTTTTTTAAAAATTGTAATGACTACTCATATATTGACATTATTTTGATGTTGACATGGTTGAAAAACCGCTTCTAACGATTGAATCATAACACAAGAGAAAAAAATGTATAGATATGCGATTGTACAGCTTTGAGAATGAAATCGCAGAAAAGAGACTCTTCTCTGAAATACTTGTTCTTCTGTCATATTCTGATGGGTCTCAACAACATCAGTCTACATCTTTGTCATCCATCTTCCATGTCCATTGAAACATCTGAGTCGATTTCAGAAAGTAAGTAGAGTCTTTTTATCATAAACATTATATTCCATAGGCTTTAAAATAGCTGAGGAGAATCCACGAAATACACGCATGTTAATATGGAAAGTTGTACTACCTATATCACAAGGGAGGCAAGAGAATTAGAACTATACAGTCTATGTCGCTAGGTTGTGGAGTTATCCTGATATGGTTATAGATAACTAGCTGTGTTCGAAACGTAATCCACTAAATGATACTGTTCCTTCACTGATAAAAGCCAACCAAAATAATTGTAAGACCTACGGAATTTTTATCTCATTTGTCAAAATTCATAACTTCAGATTGAAGTTTACGATCGCAGATCAGAACACCCCTACTGCTACCGAAGTTTAGACAGATAGGTAGTATTATTAGGAAACAAAATAGAGATGGCTCACTGCCTACTGCACAAGTGTGTACGAATTTGCTGAGTGGATTCCAATTCAGTATACAGCTGTAAACAATATATATATATATATATATATATATATATATATATATATATATATATATATATATATACTGCATTCAGCAGAAAGCGTGAACAAGATCCGGATTTTCAACATCAATCCAGTCAAGTCAGTGCTGCTATCTGATGGTTCAGAATGTTGGCACATCATGAAAACCATTTCCAACAAACTACATGCATTCATCAACAGCTGCCACATACGCTCACTCTATACTGAAGATCATATGGCTAGAATAATTAGAATGAGCAACAAAGAACTCAATCTGGAAACCAACCACCCAATAAACATCCAGAAGAAGAAAGTCGAGATCGATTGGATTGGGTATACACTGAGAAGGCCTACGTGCCAGACCACACCCTCGAGTGGAATCCAAGTGGAAACGACGAGTTGGGTGCTGGAGACGAGGGTGACATGGAGGAGATCATATGAGGAAGAAGTGAAAGCTTGTGGGCAGTCGTGGAGCCAGGTTCAAAAGACTGCAGAGAAGAGAGTGCAATGGAGGCGTGCTACTGAATCTCTATGTTCCACTAGGAACCCAAATTATATATATATATATATATATATATATATATATATATATATATATATATATATATATATATATATATATACCAGGCAGTCTAAACCTCCTTATACGGCTCATAGCAACAGTAAGAGACTTCATAGACTGGCCACCCTCAACCCTCTTCCAGCATAATCAAAATTTACCCAACATCGCACATCAAGGTACTAAATGGATCGGTGTTAACAGTACATGTACAAGCCATCTAAGTCGACTAACGTTTACAATACCGTCAGTGGACTTGTCTGTGTCGCCTAGTACCCTCTACCTGACTTGAACACTGCTCACACGGTGATTACACCATGGGCGAGCAATGATACGAAGAAATCTGTGATCAAAACTTTTAATGACTATGTCTGCCAGTCGTATAACACGATAAAACGGACTGAGGTGATGCGAAGGTGGCAAATTTCAAACAGCCCTTCTATATCCCAGTTGAGATTTCGTCAACAGCTAGCTAGTTCGGGCTGATGCTACTCCTCAAGTAATTGAAGTGGTAGACGCATACCACCACTTCACTAACAATCCTTAAACTAGGAGTACTTTCAGACCAGTTGGGTAGTACCATCTTACATTCAACAGATACGAAATGCATGTCAAACACACTCATCATATTTCTTCTCTTGCATTTTGTCAACGTACTCCAGTATACTCCGAGTCAACCATATAACCTCCAAAGAGTAAGTCAATCCTAGAGAATTCAGATGTACCAAAGGTAATGTTGATTAGTTCGTCTATAAGGAAATTAAATAAGAACGGTGACAATTTGAATCATTGATGAACACCACTAGTTCTCGTCAATGAACACAACAACTCTCCATAAGCCTCTACACGGCTGCGTGAGTTCGACTAGATAGCTTTGATTAGCATCACATGGTTGCTGAGTATTCCTTTCACAGTCAGACACTGACACAACATCACCTTCAGGTCGAGAAGTATGGTCTCGTTATTTGTCACAGGCTAAGAATGATATTAGAATAAATGAAATGAAATAATAAGCTTAGTATTTAACCAATGGAAAAACTGACTATGTAAAAAGGAGTAAATTTAACGCAGTCTAATAATTAAAGTAAAGAAGTCCAATACAGAGAAGAAAATACGAGAAAAATACAACACCTAGAAAATATTATCATAATAATGGATATATTAAAAAAAAGTATACCAAGTAAAAAATAAATAAATAAATAAAATTTTTTTTTTTTTATATCCCTGAGAAAATATTCACCCCAAAGATAATTTCATGCAATAATTATAGATAAATGTCAACAAACTAATGATGATTGTATTATTCAAAGTTATTCACATTTTATCCAAATTTCTGCATTTCCATCTTTATTCATCATTAAAGTTGGATCATATACTATCCAATAATATGGTTCTGGTATAAAAGTAAACTTCATTGTTGTTAATTTCTCAACAACATTAATTGTCATCTCCATAAATTCATCTTGTTGGATAGAGTTAATATGAAAACGTCTAATAAATAAAATAATTCAAAATTTTATAATCATAATTAAAATATAAATCATAAAAAGAATATATAAATATATTTTTAAGATGAATGAGGTGAGTGATATCTCTACATGGATATAAAAAGGCTCAACTGGCTTTTGCCAAGTTAAGCCACCTATGGCACCACTGTGATATCCCTTTGTCTATTAAGGGTCACGTTTACTACACCTGCACAACAGTCCCCTCTGTTATACTCTATGGCTGTGAAACATACCTATTGAAAGTAGAAGATATAAGAAGGCTTCAAGTGTTTGACCAACGTTGCCTTCGTAGTATAAGATGTATTCCATGGTGTCACCACACCACGTGAGTAATACACACGTAGGCCTAGTCATCGATTGCCTCGTCACACAATGTTGGCCGAAGTAGGTTCAGGCTAGAAAAAGGCCCGAAGTGGCCACACTAAAACATGGCACCAATGTATGAAGTCTCTGACTGTTGGTTTAAGCCATATAGGACGATGCAGACTAGGTGGTTGTGGTCCACGGGACAAGAGGAACCAGTGGTTGGAGACCCTAGGTGATATGGCTGAGAACCAATGTCAGTGGCTCAGATGTATCCACACACACATTATCCTCATCCTAACGATGCTATGCCGAATCTCACCATTTTGTCATCCCTCTTTTCTTTCTTCTCATACTTTGTATTTTTTTTGACTGCACTCTCTTATCTTCATCCTTCACCTCACTACCTTTCTATTTGATGTACTGATATGAGGTGTGGCAAGTTGGACCGTTACGCAGTAATGCCTGGTCCTATGTTGATATTGATTGATTGATTAATTGAATGATATCAGTTCGGGAACTAATGAAAATCTTGAAGCACTAGACACCCCTCTTTCGTCGTAGTAGCTGAATGGTTAACGCGTTCACCGTGAAACCTGAAGGCTCTGAGTTCGATCCCTAGCCAAGTCATGGTTGCGTACTACTGAGGAGTCTCATACTAGGACGAAACATGCGTCCAGTCCTCCCAGATTTTCAATGGTTCGTCAACTGATGTCAGTCGATGATGAATCCTACCCTTAATATAAATATATGATAATAATAATAATAATTCACTTTATTCCAAATAATTTTTTGGTACAATTTGGAATTCTAAGCATGATATTATATTGCAACAACAAAATAAATATGTATATATACAATTGTTCACAACATTTCGAATATGAATATAAGTAATATAAATATTAATAACCAGAAAATTTTTATATTGTTAATTGAATTATTAGAAAGAAACTACTTGTATTCATCGGTCACGGGAATGCAACCAATTTCATGTTGTCTAGTCCTGAGTGCAGATCGAATCCTATCGACCACATTTGCAATGCAGCAACCAGGCTAGGAATTTCAGCTTCGCAGTGTTCATTAGTAGATGTTACTTGGTTGGAGGCAATCGACGGGAAGCCCTGGACCGGGGTTTCATGCTTTTTGGTACTCATCAGCATATCTACAACCTCGATGGAACTGATGTCCCACCTGAGAATGGAACCCGCGTCACTCAGTGTCGTAGTCAGCGACATCACTTCCTTCGAGGTTACAGATATGCCTTGCTGATGAGTACCAAAAAGCTTGAAACCTAGGTCAGACAAGACTTCCTGCCGATTACCTTCAAACAACCAACATCTAAAAGAATAGTTTTTCTTCCCCGTAATCTCCTTCTGTATTTTCGTTAGATCAGTTGAATCTGATGAATTAAGTTAGTTGGTATACAAATTGAAAGAACAACCAGGCAATGAGTCCGTTACCTAGTAACCAGGGCTAATGGAACAGTTAAGAAATCAGTTAATCGCTAACTGGATGATTAAAAAAAACTGATATGACTGTTTATGTCAATATCTTAAAAATATGCCATAAATATCAAGCGTGTTTAAAGTGGACGACAGACAGATAAAATCAACGTAGAACCTCACAAACAAGTGCATCAGCTCAAGTGACTACACTTCACAGTAGTACAAAAAGGAAAGGTGGATACACAAAGAATGATATTAAAGTAAACAAACTTGTATGATGGAATAAACAATCTGAAGATAACGATTAGTGCAAATATTCAAGCTCTAAATTTGAGCCATTCTGATCAATTCTCAACCATATCACCAAGAGTCCTCAACCACTGACCCCTTTTGTCTCGTATAGCCTAACCAGGCAGTCTACATCTCCCACACCCAACTCAAACCAACAGTAAGAGACTTCATAGACTAACACCACATATTGGTCTGGCCACTCTCAACCCTCTTACAACCTAATTCAACTTTACCCAACATGACACGTAGATGTAGACGGTGGATCGGCATGTTTAGTAGATGTCCAAGCCATCTCAGTTGACAAAGGTCCACAACATCATCAATTGACTTGCTTGTCACGCCTTATTACTTATTGACTGACTTGAATATTGCTCACAGGGGTGATTCCACCAAAGATGAGCAATGCTACGAAGATATCTATGATCAAAATCCTGTAATCGCTTCATATCTTCTACTTTCAATGACCATGTTTGACAACTGCATAAAAGGATACATCAAGGATAAAGTTAGTGTAATCTGAGGCGGCGTGTTTCAGGTTATAACAAAAAAAAAACCCTACCGACAGCAATATGTTTAGCACCTAAACAGCTTATCACCTAACCATCTGCGATTATAGGTTGTCATTAGTGAAATAAAAAGCATGAAAAATCAACGAAGTGCTGAAATACACGGGTAATAAGGAATCATTATCCACTGCGGTACTGACCATACACTTGTTCCGCGACAGTTGATTTAATAGCTTTTTAGTCTAACTAAAATAATTAAGTGACATGGTAAGAATTAGACTGTGGTTCATTGGTTTAGGGAGTTGACTTTCCACTAGTGGGTTGCGGGTTCGAAACCGAGTCTCCCTACAGAGGTCTTAGGGGAAAGGTAGTAAGTATCATCAGCCTTTACACGATAGATGCGACTCATTACTTACTGCACGAACGTGCACAAGGTTTGGTCAGTGGGCTTCACTCATTCATTTCAGGTACATATATACTAGGCTGAGTCGCATTTATTGTTACCAAGGCGAGAATAACTAAGGGACAGTATGAACCCTGGACCCATTGATTGAAACTGAAGTGCTTTAGCTACAGAACCGTACTACCTTGATCAAAAAAATATGCATTTACTTATATCTTACCTTAGGTAAACAGGAAAGTTCGACCATTTATTTATCGAAATATCCGGAGAGTTACTACATTCTTTACTATCCACTTTATTTTCCGGTATACGTCTATGCAGAGTAAACAACGATTCACATGCAGGTCCTCCACTTGGTTTAATTTCCACAATAGTTGGATATTTACAACAATCACCTAAACCTGATCAAATATTGATATACAAGTGAAAAATATGTGGGTATATTTTTAGGCAATATAATCCAATTGCAAAAAAAAACACAATGACAACATGATGAACTGATTGTTTGGATTAAAATTGTCTTTGAAACATTCACAGGTGATGAAAATAAGAAAAAACAGCCGAAGTGTACTCAGTAACCATATGCATACTCATGCAGTAAGTAATGGATCACATCAACTGTGTAAGGGCTAGTGATACTACCTGACTATCGAAAACTCGGTAAGCGAAGCCAGGTTCGAACTCGCGTCACTATGGGTGAAAGTCAAGTGCTTAGACCAATGAACCACTCCGCCTGCACCACACAGTGAAAGACCATTATTATTTACTGAACATTTCGTGCAATACTCATTATCCTAAGTCATATCATGATGATATGTTTGTAGGTTATGTTGTGTGTTTGAAATACTACCAGGTAAGGAATACTACTTCACTGTAAGATAGCTCTACTGATAAGTGAAGCAAGATGAAAACAAATCTCTACTATTACGATGCTTGGATTATTCACAAAGCGAATCAAACATAAATCTTCTCATATTTATCTATAAGGAATTGTCGTATTTCATACGTTGACAATTATGGTACGTAATGCAGTTAACTATTTGAGATAGCCTTGGTTCCTAATGGAACATACGGCTTCAGTAGCACGTCTCCAATGCGCTCTGTCCTCTGAAATCTTTTGAACCTGGTTCCACGACAGCCCATAAGCTCGCATTTCCTCCTCGCACGATCTCCTCCATGTCACAGTTACCTCAGACGCCCAACTCGTAGCTTCCCATCGGGGTTCCACTCGAGGGCCTGACGAGTAATGTTCGCAGTCGGCCTTCTCAGTGTTTGCCTAATCCATAGCCTTGGTTTGGCAAATCAATACTACTGATACTCAGTAATAGAAGTGAAGACTTGTTCAGTAGCTGAGTTTTGTCACTCAGTCGCCAGGCCAGTAACCTACACGCTACTGGTTCAAATCTTGACACGACCGACATTTTTATTTTACCTTCAGTTATCACCCCTTATTAATTATGATACAGTTATGAAACAACTAAAATCAACTATATTAATAATCAAGTGATTATATGATGAAACAAAGTACACTTCATTTAGCTTTAGTGTCAATCATGACCCGAATAGCTCAGTGGTAGCATCACTCAATGCACCAGCCGGTACATCAGATTATAATGCCTGATTCATAACTCCAAGTATCTCAACAAACAACCGTAGACTTTCTTCTAACTGATATTTCATACGCTTATGTATAAGTAATAATCTAAGGATAATACAATACATCGTATAAGGTGCATCTTACCTGTGTAGTCCCAGTGTAGTATATTATGAAGGAACGAACGAAATGCATCTCAGTTACCTTGTACACATCCGTGCAGTAGGCGATGAGTCCCACCTATTGTGTGTCGGCTAATGATACTACCTAGCTGCCCAAAGTAACTTGGTGGGTGGAACAGAGCTCGAACACGTGTGTAGCATATTACGACAAATAAAAAAATAAACAAGTATTTTCTATCATTTCTCAACGTTTTGATCTTGCCAAGAAGATACTTTCCAAGAGTATGAATCTGATTGATATAAAGTTTTCACGTGAATATTCAAGTGTGGTATAGGTGACCTTTATGATTATCCAATTGGATTGTGATATGGAGCAAAGATCAGAAGGTGAGTAAATTAGCAAATCGATCAAAGAGGCTTATTTCATTTGTGCAATTAACGTAGAAATTTATACTACACCGGGATTATACAAGTATAAAATAAACCTTATGTGATGAGTTATACTACCTCGGTCACCAAGTTTTTCCCAACCATTTAGTTCATTATTGGTCAGGATATGTTCAAAAAGAAGATACAATAATCAGAATTTCTCATAACTATATATCAGGGAAAAGGAACTACCATATTTCTTGAAAGATTCTCCGGCTTCTTCTAAAATCTCATCGAAAGTCATGCTCTTATTTCTGTAACTCAGCCATGAGTTGCTGAGAACAGTTGCTTTTGTGATTTCCTGTGAATGGATATAATCAAAGACTAGTTTACTTCAGATTTGTAAGACTCCACTATTTCATAAAGAGGGTTATGCATTCTCCGTTGGCTTTTATTAGAGTACCTAAAAAGGATAAAAGGGTATGTCATACATGTATTGGTGACAGTGAGTGATTTAAACTATATGACAAACTAAATACTTAATGAAGCATACTTCTGAACAACTTGAGATCAGATTTGGGTACATTGCCAGTGAACTCGACCCCGGACGAGCGAGATAACCGTCCGGTGTTTATCTGTCTGCCTGGTTAAATTTACACATCAGTCTGAATGGTTGGTTTCTAACTACTCAAATTGTTCAATAGTGTATTTCGTTAGTTTATAACACTTTTATTTATTTCCCTAAACGAGTTTGGTTCACAAATAAGTGAGGAAAGTTGGAGTTGTTTCTTACAAAAACAAAGATTTAATATAACTTACGTCTACCGAGTAACAAAATAACCAATGCTAACATGTGACACTGATTCGTAATAACCCTCGAATATTCCTGACAGTATGTGACTTTAACAAGTGTAGATAACCCAGCGTCTTATTCCTATCACAGACCATCAGATTCATTTGTCAACATTTTCATTACTAAAAGTGACACCTTCCCTCCGCCTTAATTTCTTTCTGGTGTACAATATGCAGTCACTAAAGCACCACAACGACAACGTAGACCATTGGACTCATTCAGCGTTTTCCTTCGAATCAAATGTTTAAAATAAGTCAATTAGTACTACTTTCGTCACTCGGTATCACAGTAGACTACCTAGCATTACATAACTGAATCTTGAGCGGAAGCTGAACCTGCTGAAGTCAATAGACTGGCAATACATACTGATGTTCGGCGTGAGAAACTATTACACAAGAGTACAGAATTCTCCTACTCTAAGCAGAACAACGTAACTGTTGCTTTGCGTAAACCTGGTCTTATGGTAAAGGTGAGCTAATACGGTTCAGATCCTATCGGTATTCGCGTGTTGAAATCCCTTCCGCAATTTCATCAATACAGACATTAATTAACGCTCAATACTGGGCCACGAATCCATGTAGGTTTCATTACAGGAAGTCACTACTAAATGCATAGTGGTGCCAAGAAGGAATCGCTTTGTTGTGTCTATGCTGCATATATTAATTTCAGGTTTCAGGGTGCAGTGGCGTAGATACACCTGACCGAATGACCTTGGGTTGATTCATTTCAAGGATACTGAGGAACGCTTCATGAAAGCCAACTTTCTGCAAGAATCATTTAAGGCTATCTAAAAGTAACTATCGTGAAAATGATCTCCTTTTAAAGCCCATTCTAATTTCTAATCATCAATGCCGTAGAAGAGCATTGGCTAAATAATTTGGGTGCATCCTGCTTCTTTAACGACTGAATCCTAATTGCAGAAAGATGTATTGACTCATATCCCGGATCAGCCTGACACTTAATCCAGTGCAAAAAATGTACAACTGTGAACCTAGTTCAGCTTACGTTGCGTGATGGGGCATATAGTGGTTAGGCATTTGCGATACATTTCCTAGCCACCTAAATTTGTAAAGGTTCACAACCTCATCAACTGACCACACTCTTCTGCCAAAAACTCAGTGTTTAACTTCTGCAGTACTGACACGGTGGTTTCATGACACAACCTCATGTCCTCTGCCTTTAATGGCCCTTCGATACCCATACAACAGAACAAAGCGAACTGGTGTACAGTACACCCAGCCCTTAATGGGCAATTGAATATCACCAAGGCGCAATAAATGGAGTAAGTTGATGTAAGTCAATCGAGTTTTTGTAGCCGTGAACAGATCTCGCCAACCATTTGATTTCTAACTTACAGTATTATTAACTTGATGACGTACCGAGCATAAATTATTGCTCGTAATCATATCAACATTGATATGATTTTGTCCAATAATTCATGCTCGAAACGACATCAAGCAGATAATACTGTATCACTGTGTTATAAATCAAACAAAAATCTAATTTGGAGTAACTAAGGTTATGTCCGTTAGTACGTCCATGACGAAGTTAAATAGGAACAGTGACGGAAGACATACCTGGCGAACACCACTGATTGTCAATTCACATGGCAACTCTCTATAGGTTCTTACACGGCTGAGTTCGATTAGAGAGCTTTGATTAACGTTATACACTTGCTCGGTATTCCCTCTACAGTCAGACACTGCTATAACACCTCGCGGTCGACTGTGTCAAATGCCATCTTCAGGTAAACTAATATGCCAGGTATCGGCCGCCGGTATGTCTATGTTTCAGGGCCTTTTAGAGAGTGAAAATATGATTGATGCGTCCTCGTTCAGGTCTAAAACCTGCCTGACTTTTTCGAGTTTGCTGTTTTCGAGCTCCAGTTAGGCGTCGCATAACTCTGGACCCTAGGATCTTGGACACAATATTAGTCGAACTAATTACCCTATGGTTGTCACAAGAAATTTCCCCCTTGTTATAGACTGGGATGATCAGTGAGATAGACCAGTCTGACGGGACTGCTCCTGAAACCTATACACTATGCAGTACCTCTGTCACTTTAATCAACAATTCCATACTTCTGTGCCTGAAAATTTCTGGTGGAAAACTGCTGCTTTTCAGCGTTATAGGTTTGACACACCTTTCTCAACTCCGAGGGGGGTTGGAGGGCCGACATCTGTGCCCTATTTATATCTAGACTGGATGTTGAATTGCTGAAGTGTTGCTCAGGATCAGTATAACTATACTTTGTGTTCTGCCCAACGCTCTAGCCACCAATCCTCAGGGGTTATCAGAGCCTCTTCGTTGTCGGTGATGATTTCAATCACCATCGTCTTCTTTTTACCAGCATCCTTAATCCTTAAAAGTTCCCTCATTACCCACCATCCTGTCCTGTTATGCAGCTGTCAAAAATGGCCATTAGAAGTAGAAGATATGAAGTGACTACAGGTTTTTTTAACACAGATATCTTCGTATCATTCCTCGCTTTTAGTGGAATCGATGTATGAACAATGTTTAAGTTCTGAGAAGAGTACTGAGCGTGACAGGCAAGTCGACTGACGATGTTGTGAACCTTAGTCGACTGAGATGTCTTGGACATGTACTGGAGATGCATATCCACTGTCTACCTCAACGTGTCATGTTGGATAAAGTTGAATTAGGTTGTAAGAGGGTTGAGAGTGGCCAGACCAATATGTGGTGTTAGTCTATGAAGTCTCTTACTGTTGGTTTGAGTTGGGTGTGGGAGATGTAGACTGCCTGGTTAGGCTATACGAGACAAAAGGGACCAGTGGTTGAAGATATGGTTGGGAATCGGTTAGAATGAAGAAGTATTTACTCGTTGACATCTTTTAGAACTGGAATATTCACAGTAACCTTTATCTTCAAATCGCTTATTTTCTAACACGACTTCATCTTCCTTGACCACTGGTTTTCTATCCACTTATGTTTCATGTACTACTGTGAAGTGTGGCAACCTGAGGCGATGCACTGTGTGCGAGGTTCTACGTTGATTTTGTCAGTCCAGTGATGGCTTACAACAATATTGTCTATCTGCTTCCATTCCCGATTTACTTACTTTGGACAGCAAGCTAGATTGTTTCTTCCTATGTCTGAAGTTAGTGCTGACCAGAAAAAGGTGGCTGTAGGAACAAAATTGCAACAGAAGATTCCCCTTGTTTGTTCTTTGGCACGGGATTCTGCCAAAACCTTCCAGATGCGTTTCTGAATGGCTCAACTCTCATACATTAGCGTTGAAGTCACCTGCTATAATAACTATATCCGGATGTTTTGCTTTCTGTAGAAAAATTGACAGCTTTCGACAGAATTCATCATTTGCATCATCCAAACTTTAATACATTGGCGTGCAAACGAAGATTATGAATAGGCAGCGGTAAGTCTCCTAACCCTTACCAGTTCCTTAGTTCGACAGCACACAGACTCTCGACCGGTATCCCATCGAGAAACCCACTTTCGGCTTGAGAATTCAATGTTACACCTACTCCAATGAGTCCACGAAAGATAATGGTTGAATTTCCAGACGCTCGTGCAGTTAATTTTGAAGATTCGCCACAATGACCAGATGGAGTCGAGTGAACAGCCATACTCGGTTTCTAAGTATGCCTCAGAAAGACAAAATATATTCTTAGCTCGACATTATAGAGACTGGTAAGAGATATCTGCTGTCTGATTCAACATAGGGTGCACATTTTGAAATATTCAATATGAAGTTGGCAGAGGGCTTTCTAGTCAACTAAGAGTCATGTTTTACTGGCTTGGATTACTAACAACGGTCGTTTGATTACAGATTCGACTGTTCCAACACTGTATACGAAAAAACTATGCTACCTGTAACCCATAATCATAGGGCAAGTAAGAGTGTGCTATTTTTTATGTTGACCTTTTCTTACTCTTCCCATTCCCACCGGGAAGACAGAATCATCATGGTGCCACTGATCATCCAAGGAAAACATTTTACTGCTGTCACGCTCCACCTAACCAGCAGTACACCTTTGCCCTCCGACCACCATCATAGTGTAGCAATTAACACCATGACAGTAACTGCTTCATGTTTTTCCGCTATTCAACGGACATTTCTGGAAGGGTAGGGCTTCAAAAAGCAAGCGCTTCAGCCAGCATAGATCGTTGGGTCATTGTGATACGCAAACCTGACCATCACGTCAAATTGATAGCTATCGTTCAGGAGGATGGCATTCAGATTGATGTTAGTAGCTTTGTTTGTTAAAAACTGCAGAGAGCTACAAAATGTGTTACAGATATTTGCTGAAATATATTTTCGTACAAGTTGAAAAATTCATGATCTACAAAGTAAAGCGCACCTCATAATCGTTTCTCACCTTTAAGTAAAAAACGTTTAAGGATAACAAGGCCTGAAAACACTAGTGACCTACTTTGAGCAAAATCCTAGTTTCTACCGATTCTTGACATTTCAAGAACCTAAATGAAACAGCGCAAACTTGCTCACCAGGTTCAAACCAATAGTCATGGACTTTGTTTATTGCTTTTGTGTCTTGTTCTAATTACTTTTAGCTCTTTCTCAACCTCATCCCACTTCGTTTAGCATTGCATGTTGACAGGTCACAGATATTTGTAACATCCAATGAGAGACAAAAGACTAGATTAAAGTAATGGATTATGAAGTATTTACATAATAGATAATTTATAGCCACTAACATTGAAATTTTGCCTCGAACTAAAAAGTGTGTATGATCCAGCAACTTAAATCATGAGGCAGTCGAAGACTTATCTGAATAAATGACACCAAAAGCCTAAGAACATTTCTGCTTGTAACTGACTGCAAAAGTTTGTATATCATCTTAGAATGCATTTATCAAAATAATTCACGGAACTCTTAGTATCGGGGTTCACACCTCGTTAATAAGTGAAAATCTCACTACCTGCACTTGGCCTTTTCTACCTACTGTTTACATACTAATTATTTTGAAAACTAATATCATGGCTTATAAATTCCAAAGCATCAACTGTTTGTGAGGGGTTCTATACCATAAGCTTAACAAAAGTCAGAATTGTGGTTTTCTGAGTAAATAAGTTATAGGCCACTTGGATTTTCTGCAACAAAATTTTCATGAGATATTTATTCTTCTTTGTATAGTTGGACCGAACACAGCTGGGAATTAATCCAGAATTATTATGACTATTAACAATGGATAGAGCTTTTAAGTTATCGCATTTTTTTAGATATTGGCAAAAATAATGTTCCATAAAAATTTTCAAAATAAAAAGCTTGCCAGAACTTTATCATATCATGACAATAATAGTCAGAGTATTTTAAACGTATTTTCAATAGGTGCCCTGCTACACCATAGTTCATATGCTGACAGCAACTTTGTATCAGAAAGTTGTCATGCCTTTCTCGGTGTCCAACTTTTTTTCGTATTTGAGACGAAATTCTATCCAAAACATTCCATTCAACAAAACTAAAGCTATCTGAAAGAAAATATGAATTATTTTCATTTTATGAAGTAAAAGATGTTTGAATTTATTTAAACTGAACTCACATGGCTTGTGGTGTTGTACTAACAGTAGTGAGTTTTTAAGAATACTCTTTTCCTTCGAATGTTGAGTGAACGCTATTTTTGTCTTCCCATTATTTTGTCATACTCACATCTTTCCTTTGGAATCCTTAAATTTCAGTGTACTTTAGTAACAAGGAAACTTTTTACTTAAGGAATCAATTAATTGCTGGTTATCTGCATAAATATATCATTTTGAAGGTCAAGTCTTTCTGACACTGAACATTACCACTTTTAATCCAACGTAACCTTCCCGAAAATGTACAACAAATTGTCAATGAAACACCTTTCTTAATATGCTTGGTCATTAAAATGTATGTATGTAAAGACCATTCGTCTTGATATGGTATACATTAAAAATAGAAGGTTTGGAAAGAGTAGTTTCTAAAATGCAACCTTTAGTTAGACAGTCCCTTCATAATCCAGACTAGTTTGGTCATTTTGCTCATGATCGTGTGATCCCTTGTTAAGTTAAAATCGGATGTTGTAGTACACTAAGAATAAATCCAAGCCAGCTATGCTGCATAGGCTTATTTAGCGGTTTACTAATAGAAGAATTTATGCAACTAATCCATTTAACACTGTTCCTCAGGAATGAGTAGGTAAGGGGATGAATAAACAACCAACCTTGTGTTTAGAGCGTGAAATTTATTTATTTCAGTAAATAATGGGTAAGTCATATTACTATCATAGTAATGAGTCTTTAAAATCAAATAAGATATGATTGCCAAATCTGTTTTCATTTCGAATCACTTTCTTGGCAAAACTTTTGTAGTACCTACTTATCACTAGCACCGAGTTTGTACATAAAACTACAAATTTCAGTATTACAGAGATATCGAGTTCATAATTATAAAAAATTAACCGATTTCCGATAAATTGTGAATAATTGTTCACAATTATCGTATGTGGGATCTGTAAATGTTAATTATAATTAACATTAATTACATTTACTATTATAATAGTTATAGATCACACACAATAGGACAAGACATCCATACATGCGAGTTCTATTTACGTACACTACTTACTGCCAGTCTTAATCCCTCATTTGTGAAACTTTGCGTGCAGTGCAGAAAATTTGACAGATTAAGGTGCAGTATAGACAATTTGGGTAATTTGGGAGCACCTTGATAGTTTGGGCTATTTCTGGAAAGACTTCTAACAATTTCGAGGACGAGGATGCATTGTCTGTAGTAAGCGGAAGATTTTCTGTCTGCAGTGACATTTTTGCCCAAAAATCTCAAACTGCGCCCAAAAGTCTTTGCTGGCTGGGGTCAGTAGACAAGTCGAAAAACAATGAATGAACATGTGTTAGCTAAATAAAAAAAGATCGACGGGTATAATAAATTCAAAATGAGGGGATAAGGCAGTCTACAAATAATAAGCGTCGAGCGTACGTGTAAACCTCCAGATACGTTACGGCTAACTGACGTAACGTTTAGAACCAAAAGGACACCACTTACCTCGCGAGATCTCCAAGCTGCACTAAACAACTTATTCAAATAAGAATACACTTTGAAACATTTCAATGACACTTTTCCTGAAAAGCAGAGGAATGAACTTTTGGTATAAAAACTGACGGTTATACCGTTCATGAAGAGTAAAACCGTATTACTTACCCGAGGGCCAGAGTGTATTGTAGCTCAGAGGTTGGAAATGAGTAGACAGCACTTGTAACAGTCCATCCCACAGGCACCCAGTGCTGTAAAATAGATAACTCTAGAGTTAACTTATGCACTGGCTTTGTTTCTGCTACCCTCTATCACGCACGCCTTGATCTGTGACCTGTGATACGTGAGCGAAATAATGTGAACATTCATACAGTCAATTTGCTGATTTCCACCTTAGAAACCTTAAAGAAACTGACTGGTTTTTATGCACCCATGTTTTGATGTCGCTGAGCACTACCATTTTCTGGTGGATGGTGATGCAGCGGACAAATAAGTCCACTTTCTAAAGCCCTTTCATATTCGTTACCTAGTTGTGTGGCTGTTGTTACAGTTCTAACATCATCTAAGGTTCCTTATTCGATTCCTTGAATATTTAGCTAGGGGAAAAGCCAGGGGATAACCCTGCCTAATATTGTTGTACCAAGTTTCAGTATCCATTAATGCAGCAACTTTTAAGGAGCCGGTGTAAACCAGTTGATATCTTCGCGCTCGCTCGTAGGTCTTTCGGAACGGTGCCAGGTCTTTGGTGAATTCCAGTGTGGCAGATCTACCCGTACGCCTACCACAGCTTTGGTTAGCCGCCTGATGGGTGGGTGTCAATTAAATTTGTAGGGATTGTGTGATTTTTCCAAGCACTTTGGAACAAATAAGTTCTTCAGGTGTCTGGATTGTTTGTGGAAAAAAGTCAGAAAAGGTGTCCAGGAAAATTAATGGAGAGGAAGTCCAAAAACATGGCGAAGAGGAGCGCAAGAGAAACTGAGGTAGATTCATGGGAGATAAGTGATAGGGAGAACCGTAATAAGTAGGCCGAGACCATAGAGAGAGAGGTAAGGGAAGCTGTGGGCAAGATTATAGGCGATATTATGGAAATAGAAACAGTAATCTTATTCGTGGGGCATGGTGACTGGAGGAGGTGCCTAATAGGGAGTTATTAGGTCAAACCGTATTAGCGATGACGGTGACGGTGCAAGAGTCAGATAACAATGAATTATTGGGTTTACCATGCTGGGATGTGCGGAGTTAGTGAGTTGCATCAGTTTAGTCCGTATCCCAGCTGGATGGGTGTAAGTCACGCGTCACTACGTAGCTGTTCAACCTCCCTTTGGGGCTATCAACAAATGGAGTAGTGTTGGTCTCGGCAGAAGATGCGCTCAAGTGGTCACGAACTCTTGGAGGGGAAACGTGTGGACCTATACGGGACTACATCCTTCGATGGGCGATTCTCCTTGGGTTTCCACGAGGATTCCAACAATGATCATTCGGTAGGCCTCCACTGTTCGTGTGGCTTGGATTCCTTAGTGTTTTGTAAGCCGTTATCAAACCATCACGTAGCTCACGTCAACGAAGTTAGTAAAGCCTTAGGTCACTCAGACTGCCCTCACAGGGTCTTTGCCACGTACGTGCGACATATATCGTTTCTTGCCTATGGACTTTCCCCGTGAGGTTGACATCTCTTTTGAAGTATAGCAGTGCAAAGACGTCATGAGCCCCTAATCAAGATCGTATACAGGTCCTGTACAGCTTCGGGAAGAGTTCGGGGGCGAGAACACCTAGTTGTCAAAACATAAAGCACAGCACTGCCTATGTCCTGGAGGCCTCTTCTGGATAGTTGAAGCTGGTGTCCAGCTCTTCGAACAACATAAGTCCTACGTCTTTCTCTGCAGGGATATAGGGAAGTTGCGTACCACAAAGAGAGTAGGATACTTTTTGCGAGTCAGGAATCCGACGGAACGGAGTTCCCACATACGTGACAAGTTGCAGTTGCCGTATCAGCTGAATGCTTCAAGCCTTAGGCTTCGCTGCGAAACCGTAGCCAAAATACGACAAAATTTACCCTAATCCACTGCCGGCAGCCTCTTTACCCTCGAATCAGTGGTGGCGTTTGTAGTAAAACAAATCCTATAGGCAACTTCTGAAGCTAATTTGAGATATTCTTCACCGCTTCCCCTCTGTTGAAGGAATTTGAAATCGTGACTACTTACTACTTAATGATAATATTGGAACTGTCTCAGCGTAAATATGGGCACTTAGTACTACACGGCTGAGTCTGGGTGAACTGTTTACGGAGATGGTCAGTTCAAGTGGTTCAAATGGATGTTGGCGGGATACAAGAAGCTTCCGCGTCTAAAATCCGTGGATCACAATTCTTGTGGTTGTGTACAGATAAAGAAAGGGGAAAAAAGTGGCGGTTAAAATGTGAAAATTCAATCAGTTTTGGGCGGATGCCAGCTACGGTATGGGAGGCCGGCAAGTATCAGTCGTCCTCACAGCTTGATAAGTACTCAAGTTTCCTCAGACTGCTATCCACCTCCTCCTCCATTACCTTCTAATCTTCCTCCACGTCTCACAATTAACAATACCATATCATCCTTAACTTCTCCTAGCTCTGCAACCCTCAACAACGGTCTCGGTTCACAAAACAGCACCCTTGGTCTCCTTAGACCACGCTCCAAATTACATATTTGAGCCTTCAGTGTCCCTACCCTGCGCCAAATTGGTCAGCAGGCTTCGTTTGCAAGGGCTGTAGCAACTGGAGCCATGGATGTGTGCTGTTTTTGTGAGACACACATACAGGACTGAAGTTCGGTTGTTCACCTGACCTCTCCCGGCCAATCTGGTGAATCCGCAGAATTCACCCTTCGAGTTTCTGGAGATTCGTTAGCTAGCTGTAGCTGTCTTGCAGACACAGGCGTAGGACTAAGTACTAGGGTAGAAAACTCACTACTACACTGGATCCCAGTTGATGGCCACCTCTGTGCTATCCGACGGATTGGCACAGTGAGAACTAAAAGGAATGGTGAAACTCACTGTCGTCTCTTTGTAATTTCTCCTTACGCACCCACTGGCTGTAGTTTGGATGAAGTGAACGATGAGTTCTACCGCAAACTCTTTAGCCTCCTCTCGAAAGCCGAAATTTGGACGTGGTAGTTGTTGCAGGTGACTTCAATGTATAGGTGGGTAGACTGGGTGAGGCAGAACGGCACTTAGGTGGGACTTTCGTAGTCCCGGCTGAACGAACAGATAACGATGATCGCCTACTACAACTGTGCTCAGATAACCGCCTATTTTTAGCCAGCACCAATTTCAGACATAAGAAAAGAAACTGTCTGACATGGCGTCCACCGAGCTCAACCCAGCGATGGACACAGATAGACCACATTGCTACTAGTGACTGCTGGAGATGATGGGTGGAAGACTCCCTCTCCTTCTGGAGTACGTGTTTGGATAGCGATCATTTGTTGGCCCGAGCGCGTATTGTCTGCGTCTCCATGGACGGCAACAAAACCACTACGAGTGCTGCTGGACAACGAAAACACCAAAGCCATGTTCGGTGAGAAGTCGGCTAGGCAGTTATCATCGGAATAGAAGACTATCATTCATCCAGAAGAAGCTTGGTCCTCCTTCAGTCTGCTGTAAAAGCAGCACTGGAGACTGTAACCAACTCCAAAATAATGGCTAAAAAGAGCCAGTGGATATCGGCAGCTTCTTCCAAGCTACTGGATGCATGTGAACGCCTCCCTGCAGGCTCTGAGTACAATGAAGAGCGAGCGCAACTTAAAAATAGACTGATGAAAAGTCCGCGCAAGGATCGTGAACAGTGGTGGGAAGCGAAGGCTAAAGAGATGGGAATAGCAGCGGCTATTGATAACAGTAGACAGCTGTCTACACTTGTTGAGGAAACTGGGGGAAAAGGTCAAACGCGGTCAGTTAGACCATAGCGGAGAAAGACGGATCTGCGATTCACTCGCAGCAGAGACGACTGAAAAGGTGCATAGGACACTATGAAGAACAGTTTAACTGGCCTCCGGCCACCATTACGTTGCCCGTCAGCCAGTCGGATTCTGAATGGGACATAGAGGTTGAAAAAGCGTTAGGTAACCTGAAATGAGGCATGGCAGCAGGACCAGAGGGACTACCTGCTGAGGTATGCAGGGATGGCGTAGCAGTGCTCTTAGGTTAACGGAAGTGTTAGCTAGTATATGGGAATCAAATACGATCCCCTCTGACTGGTCCGAGTCACTGATTATCCCAGTCTTGAAGAAAGGTGAGAAGTCCTCTTGTGGTAACCACAGAGGAATCAGCCAGACGAACGTAATGTCTAAGATTCTAGGTTCCATAATTCTCCGACGCGTGAGTGGAGCTCGGGAACAGCAAACCCAAGAAAACCAGGCAGGCAGACTTTAGACCAGGTCACGGGTGTATCGACTGAAACATAGACATGCTTACTGACACCCGACACTGCCTGTATTTCTCGACTCGAAGGCTACATTCGAACCTGTTGATCCAGAAGTCTTATGGCGATGTCTCTTACTGAAAGACGTGCCCAGTTAGCACATCACTTTATTAACGGCTCCCTGTTCTAACTTTTGCGGGCGTGTTACAGCCTGTGGTGTGATGTCAGGTGAGCTGTACTCATCAAGTGGTGTCCGTCAAGGGCGCCCACTGTCTCCATTCCTATTCAGTTTCATCATAGATATTTTTACGGAGGTTTATCTCTCGTCGCCTGATCACAGAGACGTTGACCTAATCACGGGAGAATTTTCGTTAGACCTAGGATATGCAGATGACGTTACATGGTCCTGTTAGGTGAAGACGCTGACTAGATGCAGAGTCTTGTGAACACTTTGAGTGGGAATTTGAGAATGTTTGGGATGCGTTTCTCACCACTCAAATGCAGATTGTTACTCCACAATTGGTGTTCAAAGGTGCTGCAGCTAACGATAGGGAGTGAAGTGGTTAAGTTTGTTGAC